GTCTGAGCCATAAGATTTAACCTATTATAACTACTAAATCCCATATAGAGTTTAAGTCACCAACAACACAACTCTAAAATCATCTCCCCAGTGTAGAAACATTAGGTTTTTTTTTTTTTTTTTCTGAATCTTTCCTTGGTTACATCAAACATTTAATTCAAGAACATCATTTTTGTTGTTTTATTTTGTTTTCCTTCCTAAACAGATTTTTAGCTTCTGGGAGAAAGGAATCCTTCCCATTGTTTTCATAGCTTTAATATCTAAAGAATATTTAACGATATATAAGCACTGTTGACTCAATCCCGACTCTTCAAATTTAGTCTGTGTTAGGCTTTTGAGAAACACTAATTTTCAAAGATTCAATCTAGTATTCTCCGGAATGTTCTTTGTAGTTCACGGCATTGTAAAAAGAAAGCAAAGCAACAAATGGCAGCTTGTTTACTGAATGAGAAGTGCTCAAGAAAGAAATATTTCCAGGGGGTTGGCACTGAGCTAGAGAAGCTGTCTACCCCATAAGCTGGCATCAGCTAAAACAAAGTTCATTCTGTCAGCCGCACAATTCTAAAGGCAGATTTTGAGTGACTGTTATTAAAGACATTCAGTGATTACCACGACATGCTTGTTAGACGTGCTTTTTTATTTAACCCCTTTCAATGAAAATATTTGTCAATAAAAACTCTTGCAGCAGTAATGCACGTGTACTGAGTGTGCCTAGGGCCCTACTTTACCAGTTCTGTAGGAATTCATCAAATACTACACTTAAAATTTCATATAAGAGGTCCTTAAGCCAACACCCAGTTTCTTTGCCAACTGAATGAAGAAAAAAAAGGACAGAATGGCCAGGGTGTGTTTTGTTAAGCACACTACATAAGAAATGCATTAGTGAAGACTTTCTTATGCTTGCTATTAGGAGAAACAGCCTATTTTTCAAGGGAAGATATCTATATGGAGTGATATCACCGGTCACACATAGTTATAACTTGCTGGGCAAAATGCTACTTTCCATATTGCAGCTGTCTCAGTCACTCTCAAGAATCAGAGGATAAATCAATTGTAGTGTGCAAGTTGTCAATGCTGTGGAGATTCCCAGGAGGGGAATTTTGGCATGGTCAGTATTTCTAGCTTTTCCCTGAAGGGCCATTTTTGCTGGTTTAAGAACCTAGTGCATTATATGATCTGAAAAATTGGGTGAATTCCCAGGAGAAAGTGATTAGTTCACTCCAAGTTCTAAGAAGAGCAGTCTTCCCCACAGACTTAAAGACCTCAGTACTCCAGGAGACTCCTTTAGCTATGAAGGATCACGAAATCAAATAACCTGGGGCCTCATGCATATAGCAGATTCTGAGATGTTCACTTTGAACTTGTTACAATCTTAACTCTACACATCTGAGAGGGAGAAGTTTAAGGTGTTGATCACCTTAACAACTGGAGTTAAGTGTTGTTGGAACTTTGAGTCACTACGTCCCAAAAAGTTTTATGAAGAAACCCCTGTTCTACGTCATGGCCAGAGAAACACCCACAAATGCTTCTCTAAGAAAACATGCGTCTCACGTGTGGTCCTTCATTCTGTGTGCTTAACACTGAGTTTTAACATTGCAACTTCTCGGCGTTTTTCAGGGTGATCACCTTTCCTCCTCCCCTCCCTTTTCCTTCTTCTTAATATTCCCTGTCTTTAAGAGAGCTCTGTATTTTTAAAATATTTTAGACTCAGTAGCAGTAAATGTTTTCAGACCTTGGATAACACTACCCCTGCTAATACAGGAAGAGTTTAAAACATCTGTGATGCCGAACTTCAAGAAAAAAAGGAAAGAAAAAATAGCAAAGCATTGTTTGTCAGACTGTCACTAAACATTGTCACTCAAAATCAGTCCCATTTGTATATGAAAACTTCTATTGCAGAGTCTGAAAAAGAAAAGCTTAGGATTTTCTAAAAGAAAGAGAGATCATCTTTTTGAGCTGCAGAATAGAAGCTTTTAAATTACTCTCTGGGAAGGTTTGTAGGAAAAATAAATAACTCTGAGAAAAATAGCAGTGTCTATTATGGAGCCATTATTAAGGTTTCAAAACAGTGAAGAATCCTGAAGTACCCATTTTGAAAAGTGACTGTCATCTAGGAGAGATGTATTTTGAACACAGGGTTGTTACATTTCAAACTAAGGTCAAGGAAGAGTTCCGTTGGCATAGGTCAGATAAATCAGCCAGGTTTTTCCACACTTCCTGCTGATAAATCCTGTGTTTTCCTGTTTGGACTCTTCAACAGCTGTTTAAGTGAGTGGGAGATGAAGGACAAGGCCAGATCTCCCAGTATTGGCTCATTTTCCCCATATAAGCAAAGCCTTAACCTAATTTTCCCCCTTCCTTAAAAATACAGGGGTACATGCTGTGGTCACCATACCTGGTGGGAAATCAACGGAATGAAACGTCAACCTCTTACTCTGCTTATGAGGCAAGAGTACAGATCTGTGCACCTTATTAGTGAAGCCTAATTATTGCTGCCCTGAAATCAACATGGCACAATAAAGTATGTACCACGTTCCTAAGAAGGAGACCCTCTGCCCCGTCTTCTCACATTAGTGGTGACCTTATTTACAGTCCTAATCAAAGGCAAACTTTATCAAAGTTTCAGAGTCATCCCTTGCAGAAATCAGAGCAATTCAGTGATGACTAAAACTAGGGTTATGAGTGTGTAGTAATGAAGTTTGGCTTCACAAGTGGAAATTACTAATTTATTAGAGTTCTTTGAGGTGGAAAATAGGCCTGGAGATAAAGGAAAGCCCATAGATGCACTCTACAAAGTGTTTAAAAAGCACTTTTGAAAATGTTCCACACCAAGAGTTACTAATAAATGTAAATGCTATATTCCTGGGGTGAAGGACCATTCTTTTTATCTCAGGAAAAGAACTTGCTTAAGAGATTAAAAATACTCAAAAAACACATAGTCAACCTTGCCTAGAAAGAAATCAGAAGGGAACAAGAGTGAGGTCCCCCAGGGTTGGTGTTAGCACGGGTTGTGTTTAACATTCTCACCGCGTGAAGCAGACAAGCAACACAGTTCCACTGTCAAGGCTCACTATGCAATGCTTGTTTCAGCGGGTCACACGTGTGACTCAGGAACGGAGAGTTAAACCCTTTCTTCAGTACTGAGGTTGAGCCAGGGCCTGGAACATACTGGCAAGTGCTCTGCCACTGCACTATGTCCCCAACTCTTTTTAGTTTGGAAGAGGGGCTCACTATGTTGCCAAGGCAGCCCTACAACTTTCGAGGCTTCTAAGTAACTGGCTTATTTTTAAATCTTGAGGGATATAATTTTAACTAATCCCACATATGCCAGGCCCTCAGCTAAGAACTTTTCATGAAGTATTCTGTCATTTCTTATAATATCCTTAGTAAATACTACTGTACCCATTTCATAGGCTAAGACACTGAGGTAGAGAATAGTTCAATAAGTGCTCCAAAAGCACCAGGCATGGTCAGAGACACAAGCATATATAATAAACCCGTTCTCTGTGATGACTTAGGAGAAGAAAATCATTGATAGTTGTTTACTATATTTTATGCTATTTCAATTTGCAGCTCCTTCAAAAATGCCTTAAAGACAATGACTTCTACTGAATATTGCACTTCAGTTTGATTTACTGAAGTTTATAAAAGTATTTGTCAGCCTTCAGTGGCTATTTATTTTTATGAATTGGTAGCCCATTGGTAAGAGGACATGATTTTCTTTTCTGTTGCCAGTCAGGAATTCATGCTCTCCTTTGATTTATTTTGACCTGTGTGTGTGTGTGTGTGTGTGTGTGTGTGTGTTTACACATGCAGGCATGTGTTAAAAAATGTTTAGGTCATGTCATGAAAGCTTAATAAGCAGAATTAATGGAATGAAAAATGAAATTGTGGATCTATTTTCAAAGGAGTACTTACGGGGAAAAAAAACAACAAAGTCTAAGGTTCAGTGAGTGAACACAATATTTGGGGACCAGACAGAACAGAATTGCCTTTATGTTTTGTTTTAAAACAAGGATCTTCTCTCCTGATAGGGCCTGAATGTGAATACTGGGGATAGAGACTAACCTCTGTGGTGCTTCATGTCAGGATGGCTTTAACCAAATGAATCAAGCTTGTGGCAAGTTCTGCTTAGAAACAGCCATGAGTTACCAGGAAGGGCAGAAATTTGAAGGGCTTCTATTCATCAATGAATCCGTATCTCTGCATAGCTAATCATGATTTCGATTGCTACATGGTTGTTTCATTGGATAGCTTTCCTTACCACTATAGTTGGAAGTGTATAAACAACAAGAAAAGGGGCTTTTGCTATTTTGTATGTCCTCTAAAACCAGTAAACATCTGAGAATTAAGAATTGAACTGAATTTAACTGGATATGTTAAGTTAACCTATCTTTAATTTAGTCTTTGCCATTTCTGTGACAAAAAAGTGATATGCTCCTTTTTACTCTTCAGTGTAAAATTTCAGATATTTTTCATTTAATTAAGTTAGATGAAAATGCAATCTGTATATCACATATTAATATTACTTTCATGTACACATATATTTTTACAAATGCAAATCTTGCTATCGGCTGTACTGGAAAATAATCATTATTGTACCTTTATCAAATGAGGTTAGCAATTAAAAATAACGGGTGCAATGTTCAGAAGGGTTGTTAGTTAAAGAAATAAAAGCCTAAGCTGGCCCAAACGCAAAACTTTGCAGTTTTTTACATGGACATCACAAATTCCTCCAAAGCACCTTACACATTTTGCACTATACTTCACATTAGTTGAGCCCTGTGTGGAATAAGAAAACAAAGGGGAAAAAACCTCCTTCTAATGCCTTCGGTAACTTCTCAAACAATCTGAGCAGTTCAGATATATATATATATATATATATATATATATATATATATATATATATCTGTCTTTTATATATATATATATAAAAGCTTAGTGCATTTATGCTAATATTACCCCACCTGGAAAAAACTGGGTTTAAGTATCTTCCGAAATCAACAAGCAACGCTTCATTTATTCCACAGTGGCACCTTTGTAGCCCATGGGTACTCAGGATGGGACACAGGGGTGATGGTGATGGTCGAGGTTCTGCTGTAGAAATTGCAGGTGGAGAGTTGGGCTTTGGGGGTTGACATGGAGAGAAGCAGCCGAGAGCCAGGAGGAAAGGATGTCATGTTTCTCGGAAGGGCCGCCAAATCAGAAAGCAGACAGGATCTCATTGGAGGAGCTCCTTCTACGGCAACTAATCCTGTCATATTGAAAGACAATTGTAAATGTTCTCTCCAGAAATTGTCCGCCCATTGCAGCTAATCAAACACACGCACCAACACAGACCCACTCCCTTGTTATTACCCCCAGGCACCTGGGCTCACAGCCGGCTCCAGAGAGAGAGAGCGCGCGCGCGCGCGCACACACACACACACACACACACACACACACACACAGCCTGCGGATTGGCCAGAGCTTGGAAGTCGCAGGTTCCCTAGGAAATCGCCAGAGGCACTGGGATAAGCGTTCCTAGTCCTACACTAATTACAACTTCTCTGCACTTTGGTGAAGCAATGAATCCCGCCCAGCTCGGTGCCACCTCCTCCGGGTCTCGGTTCTATTTCGTTCTCCAGGCTCCTCTGCATGAAAGCCAGGTTTGAAGTCTTATTTGCTTCTCCTTTGTAGTTTGGCATGGAGGGCGGGGGAAGGGGCAGTTGAACTCCGGGATCTACCGTGGCCAGTCCCAGACCTGCGGAGCGCCAGTAGCGGTGCAGGGTGCAGGGCTCTGCCAGCGCGCGAGCCCCGCAGCCCTTGCGGAGCCTCTGGGTCCGGCTTCTCCCCGCCTTCCCTGCCCCACCCCTCTAGTGTCGCGCGGCGCCAACTAATCTTCTCCTTTTCTCTTGCAAGATCAAGGGAGAAAGCAAGCCAGCGGCTGGCTTCGGACTCTAAGCTGTTCGCAGCTCGCGCGCGGAGTGGGTCGACCCCGAACCCGCTCAGGACTCCTTGCTCCTCCAGCCTCCACCAAACCACAGCCAGGGGTGGAACCAGAGCTAACACGGCGGCAGGTAAGGGCGCCGCGCTGCCCACTTCTCCGCTGGCCGTACTCCGGGCTGCTTCTTCTGGGCGCGGAGAGGTCTGGGTTTGGGGGAACTGGAGGGGGATCTTCCACACGTGCGGATTTTCCAAAGGAAACTTTCGCTTCCGGGAGGGGTGAGGGCGGCGATGGTGGGTTTGGAAGGAAGGCGAAAAGGAGAAACGGCGTGGGGCGTGGGCGCAATTACGCGGGTCAGTGGGTCCAGCAGAACATAGAGAAAGCAGCCTGCTGGAGCGTCGCTCCCTATTCCTGCGTGACCTCCCCTCTGTTGTCACCAGCCCCTGCTCTGTCTGTGGTCATCCTCCCCAGATGCTCTCAGGGGAAAAACAGAGGTTTGCCTCTGGCCCCGCCAGCTCCTGAGGTGTGACCCAGTCAACTGCGCCTGGAGCGCAGGCCCTGCTCATCCCTGCTCGGGAACCGTCCCCGACTGCTTCTTCTGAGTAGCCCTTCAGTTTTGGAGGGACCTTTGGTGTTGCGTCCGAGCGCCGCGGCCAAGGTTACAGGGGAAATAAAAATAGGGAAAGGTTTCCAAGACAAAAGTAAGAGAAGCCTTGGGCTTCTCTCTCCTGTATCCACCGGGGGCCAGAGGTTGGTGTCTACCGCGGCTGGGGGCAGGGTTCAAGCCTGAGTCGCTTTGGCCCCTGAAGGCGGGTTTGCCATCAAATCACTGTGGATCATGAACCATAAGGAGGAGAAACCTGAGCCTCCAGTGTCCCTGCAGGTCCACACCTGCAGATCTGAGGAATCACCGCTAACTTGTGGCTTTCAGAAACCACTAGGTGCTGTCCAAGCCCGGTAGTGCGCGGAAGGCATAGAAATTTTACCTATGCTCTGCTCCCCAAGCCCCTAGGGAGTCAATGAAGCTCGCCTGGCATAGCGCTCTGGTGTCGAAAATGCTCCCGAATTACTGACTCGGAGCGGAGCACACACCCTCTGTCTCCGTGCGCCTCGGGCCCTTCTTCCCTTCTTCTCTTTTGTGCTCCCTGCCTGTCTGCGTCCTGGAGCCCTCTCTGACCCACGGAGCTCGTCCAGGGGAAGCTCGACCATGCCATAGTCCCTGACTGTGAGCCCAGGGATCCGGCATGGGTGGAACTGTCCACGGAGAGCTATTGGGAGCGCAGAGGCAGGAAGGGAGCCTGGGCATGGAGATAAACGCTTAGCGCAAGCAGACCTGCCGGCAGACGTGTCACCCAAGCCGCCCTTTGGTGTCCTTATGTCAGTTCACGGCCACAGCAGCACGTCTGTGCACTGCAGCCAGCAGAGCTCCAAGTCTGCCCGCCCGCCCGCGCTCGGCGAGTCCGCTATGGCGCGGCGCCTCTGCTCCCCACGCTCTGGAGTCCCCTTGAGCTGACTTTCTATTTCCCTTCCTCTCTTGTTTTCTTTATTGTTTTGCTTTTATTTTTTGCTCTTTTCTTAGCGCTGGGCGGCAGTAGGTACTCGGCAACCTCTGGTGGACCGTTCCCTGGTACACTCAGCCAGCGAGACAAGCACACTTTCCCCACGCTCTGCCACACACCCGCCTGCGCTCCAGCGCACAGCCACCACCGCCTGGCAGAGAGGGCACACAGCCTAGATTCCGAGGGAAACCCGGGGGCGACCAGGAAGGCCTCCAAAATAACTGAATCCGAACTGGGGGTGCAAAGAGGGACGCTGTGAGGCTCCAGCAGTGCCGGAGGTAGAGGGCGCGAAGGCTGCAGCGCTCTGGCCTTGGTCCCCACTCTGCTCCACTTCGTGTCCCTGCCAGATTCTCTTAGGGAAGTCGATGACCCGGCGCAGGGTTGGTCTAGCACAGGTCTCTTCTGTCTTTGCAATTCTGTCTTCTTGGGATGGCAGACAAGCAATCTATAAATTCCAGGTTAATGAACTCTAGGCTGAGTGGCCAAGGTATCTTGCTTGCAATTAGTGCATACATACACATTGTCTTGATGTTTATGGCTATAGATATTACAGGCGTCATAACAGACACAAGTTTTCACTGCTATGCAAATAGCAGGGATGATGGTACACTGAATTAGAAATCACTAACAATTAGGCATGCCCTTGTCATCTCTAGGGGAGAAGTCATCTCTAAGCTCTGATGACCTTAGAAGTCAAACCAGTTGATGTGGCCAGGAGACAGTTTTATGCTGGGAACTGTACTGTACTGGGCCACAATTTGGAAAGTGGACTTCTGAGATCAAGAGGATGGAAGAATTCTGTGCCAAAATTGTCACTGCAGCTTTGCAGGTTTGGAAGGACTCAAGAAGTAATATTAATGTCAACTAAGTTTTTATTGTTATCACTATTATTAATAATAGATTCCAGATGTGGCAATATAATAGGTAGGCATTGACTTTATTTATTATTGGTGTAAATAATCAGCCAATAAAAAATTTAAGATAAAACTTGACTAGCACAGAGGCATGCGAGATTCAGCCAAGTTGTTTATTGTTTTAAAGCTCTGTGAAGGAAGGAGACTGGGAATGGGGATAGGCCTAGGATCCAACACGCAGAGCAAGCTGCCGACAGATGTTTTGTCTTCCCGTACAAGAAAGAGATGATGTTTGTTTATCTAAATGTGCCTGAGGGTTCCTGGAGGGGATTGGAGTCAGAAAATATGTGTATTGGACAGAGGTCCCCATCACAGTCCAACACAAGAGAACACAAGTGCACCTCCGGGCCAACTTCTGAGACAGATGTGAAGGAGACTAGTAGTTCAAACACAGGTAAACATCCTTTTGGAGTGAGTTTCTAGAATCTCTCGGTTTGGGGAGGATGGATATTTCTGCCTTCACATTAAAAACAGACAGACAAAAACCACACAGCCCTAAATACAGCCATATCTCCTTCCTTGCCAGTTGGATGCATTCAGAGGGTGACTTCTCAGTTCTAGTACTGACCTGCCAGGCCCCAGGGTCCAGGGCAAAGGGAAAATACACAGCTTCTGAGGTAGGACGAAAAGCATGCAATGCCCAGCCTGCTGTCTGGTGGTCAGGGACTGACAGAGCGGTTGCTTGTCCTCAGTGAAGATCAGTCCCTCACTGACCTACAGCAATTAGTGAAGTTAAGTGAGTGCAGAAGAGAAAAAAAAAAAGGAAAGAAATCAGGACACAGTGAGAGGGGAATAAAGAGGGGATGAAGTAAAGAAATAAAATAAAAAAGAAATCCTGAGAACAAGGATCCTATGGACTGGGGTCTGGGTCCAGCCTCCACCACAGGCTCGGCTATGCTTCAGGGTGTGAGAGAATGCCCCTTGGTGATTTTCTGCACAAGGCCCATCCCTAATCTTATCTTAAAATTGCTTCCTTTTAAAAAGTGAAACAGAAACTGCCTTTGTACCAAAATTCCCCAAAACAACTGATTTTCTCTGTTGCAAATGATTCACCACTTTATGATGTGTGGTGTCTTGTGTCACCCTGTTCTAGTGGGTCCTTCCTATCAAACACCATCTAGATTGTTCTGTGGTAATTAGCAACTGCTCATCTTCTGTTCCCCATCATCCATCCTCACTCTGCTTCCCTCAGGTTTATTGAGCAGGTGTTTGGACTCTTTTCTGTAAGGGTCAGCAGTGCATCACCCTAGCCACACTGGATCATGTGGTGATGGTCTGTGTTCTGTGTGAAGCAAAGACACTGACCAGCTCTCCTGGGACATGCATTTGCCAAGTCTTACGTCTCTGGTAGCATCTAAGCAACAAACATGCATTAAATTATCTGCTTCATTTAGTATTTCATCCTCACAATTGAAGGTAGTGGTGGCACAGTCTCAGAACTTACAAAATCTTGTTTGAATGCATGAATCAATGGGCCCATTTTCTTGTTTTGTCATTGCAACTATCCCATGAGAGAAATGTCATTTTCCTGATTTTTCAGAGGAGGAAGCCAGCATGCAGAAGAGTCCAGTAATGGCCCAGGCTCATACGGCTGGTAGGATATAGTCCTGCTAGATTCTAGAGTTTTGGTCTTAGTGCTGGTAGGTTTTCTATACATAGTTGTATCATTTGTTTCCCTGTGTTCAAGAAAAACAAAACTGTGGAATTCAGAGTTCAGTGACATTCTCTCCATCTGTTTAATTGAAATTTGAATATTCTTTTTGGATTCCCTAAACTCTAAGCAAAGAGAATTCAGTGCCAAGTAGACACTCAGGCAGCACCACTTGCTCGTTCTATGCAGCCGGGGACTGCCCACCAAAGAAGGACAGAGGCTCCAAAATGCCATGCTGGGAGGTGCCACTTCTATCTCTCAACGATACTGAAATCTTACTAAAGAGATTTTCTGGTGCCCGAGGCAAGGAGGGAAGGGGAGTTTTGATATTATCCACTTCAACTCAGGGTAAGTGTTGCAGTGGATAAACAGACTACCCAAAGTGACACAGCAGAAGAACACCTATGCCAGCTTGCAGTCGGTCTCGTCCCTTTGCCATGCTGAACCCTCTCTTACTATTGTTGGCAGGGCAAGTGCTTAATTTCAGTCGTTCCATTTAATTTTAATCAGAACGTGCTGTCCAGACTTCTCTGTAAGGCATAATGTGCCTTTGTGAACTGCTGTGGACAAAAATGAGATAGATTCTATTTGTCTTACCTCCTTCTACTCTATGTATTTTATACTTACTTCAATTTCTTCTTTCGTTTTGCACATGTGCCATCTCCTTTTATACTATGACCTAAATATACAACCATCTTAACTGGTGCCGTTACCATGGTAATGTTTCACGGTAGATAAGGGTACACACTGGAAAAAAAAATTTTTTTTTCTTCCCTCTCCCCTACCCTTTGGCCTGGATCCAAGTTTTCACTGATTGGCGCCCTCTGGTGTTCATTAGTGGGAAGAACACTGGTTGAGTAGAACAAGAACTTGCTTTTCAAGGTTTAGGGGAATGTCTATTTCAATTACAATTTAAAATTAATATGTTAGACAGATTTTTCTTAATATAAATAAAGCAAGAAATTAAAAGAAGATATTTGTTGCCTAGGCGTTAAAATGATGTTTACTTATGCAAAGTTCTGAAGAGTTATAGCAAAGGAAGGAATATTTCTTCAAACGCTTAATGTTTTTATGAAAGTGTTTTCATGGGAAAGAGGCAAAGAGATGCAATTCAGATGCCTCTGATAAGCTACTTGCTGTTTTTCAGTCTTTAAGACCTCTAAATGGAAACGTTCTATTTTAGAATGGGGATTTTTTTCTTGATGGGAATATTTGTAAGTTTTCTCTCTTTCTATGCTTGTGTAAATCCAAATATCAACCTGCACACTATTATTAATTATAAATGATGTAACATTTATAATTAGAAGTGAGGCTGCAACTCTATAAACTTCTTCCCTCCAAATACTATGCCACCCTGCATCAGCCCCCAAGGCAAAGCAGCTCCCTCCCTCAGCTCTCCAGCTCTCCTCCCTGTCAGCACATCTCTTATGAAATTCAGCATCTCTCACACCCTGAACATCACCAGAGCCATATGTGTGTGTCGCTGTTCTCCCACCCTCCCGTCTTTCTCTAGTACAATTTATTTCTCTCACTGCCAGGGTAACTTTTCCAAAATGCAAATCTGAATGTGTGATTCTCCTGTTAAAAATTCTTCAGGGTTGCTCAACTGTTTTGGATAATCCCTCAAATTGAATGCACAGGAGATCTTCCATAACTGATTAAAGCCATTTTCCTGCTGTTGCGTTGCCTGTCATTTTTTCATTCTTTGATAGCACTAGGACAGAATACAACCAAGCAGTTAGCTAGCATGACTAATGCTAAGTAAATGCAAAATAAATAGTAGGTAATATATGTCTTTCTTCTTTCTTCTCTTCCTCCTCTTCTTTTCCTTCTTCCTTTGCATGAAATTTATTATTATTATATCAATAAGCAATACCAAAACCAGCATAGTTATTATCTTATGCATATAATAAATATAATAATGTGATATTGCTGGCATTTAATATTCAATTTAAAGAGCTCAGAGGATTTGCCAGAGTTGTTTTCCTGGATATTAAACTAAATTATTTTCAAAATTAAAATACTGAGCAACTTAAATGATTTTATTTGGCAGATAATAGAGTGACACCTACAACTGGTTAAAGGTACAGATGAAGTCTAAGGTAAAAAAAGGGCTATGTTTTTATAAATCATGGCAGGTATACATTTAAAATATATTAGCAGTAGAGAGCTTTATTTTTTTAACAGTTGACTTTCTTTATTCCAAATGTTTGCAGAGTTTGAAACCCTATATATATGCTCAGTCTCTTTCCTATTATTGTATTTAGTGAGCTATAAACATCTTCACAGGCTAAATGGAAGTTTAAGTTCAGATTTCCAGCACATGGATAATGGAACAGCAACAACAAAATGAAAATCTGTCTCTGTGGGATAAATGAAAGTAAATAACAGTTTAGTAGCAAGCTAGTGTTTTGGGAGTGGTCTGTATTTATTGGTTTCAAAAGAAAACCGCAGAAACTCTTTTGCCAGAGGCTGAGAACCCTATATGCCCTTCT